AAAACACGTGGATGAGCCGTGTGTGAGTCGCGTGTTCGTCCGTAGGTGCGTGGGCTTGTGGGATGCTTGTCTCATGGGACCCAGTACTGCCTCATGAGCTCTCGTCTGTCTGTCGGCCTTTTGCGATCTCGTCGGTATGTGTGCGCGAACTGGGTCCGGGAAGAGTCGTGGACGGCGTCTCTGCTGTGCTGCGTACTCAACGCTTTCCCAGACCTGCGGGCCGCACGCCGTGGCGCGCGGCGGCGGCTTCCAGCGGACCGTCTGCCAGTTGGTTCCTAGAAGGTTCCGAGAAGGTTCCGAGAAGGTTTCGAGAAGGTTCCAGCGGACCGCCGCCAGTTGGTGCCCTGCAGGTTCTCAAAGTGGTCCGTCTCCGTGGCGTCGTCCAGGCGCAGCCTACTCTCATTGGAACCAACGCCCCTGCGAGCACCAGCCCGCTCATCGGTTGAGCGCCTCCGCGCATCGTTACGGCGCCTAGTCCCATACCTCCAGAGTACCGAACCCAGTGTGGGTTCAGTCCCGTGGGTGGTGCGGTAGGCGCGTTGCAGCCGGCTCTTCATGATGACGAGCGGGTCTCTCCCCACATCTCCCCACATCTCCCCACATCTCACCGGCTCTTCATGATGACGAGCGGGTCTCTCCCCACATCTCCCCACATCTCCCCAGATCTCACCGGCTCTTCATGATGACGAGCGGGTCTCTCCCCACATCTCCCCACATCTCCCCACATCTCACCGGCTCTTCATGATGACGAGCGGGTCTCTCCCCACATCTCCCCACATCTCCCCACATCTCCCCACATCTCACCGGCTCTTCATGATGACGAGCGGGTCTCTCCCCACATCTCCTCACATCTCCCCACATCTCCCCACATCTCACCGGCTCTTCATGATGACGAGCGGGTCTCTCCCCACATCTCCCCACATCTCCCCACATCTCCCCACATCTCCCCACATCTCACCGGCTCTTCATGATGACGAGCGGGTCTCTCCCCACATCTCCCCACATCTCCCCACATCTCCCCACATCTCACCGGCTCTTCATGATGACGAGCGGGTCTCTCCCCACATCTCCCCACATCTCCCCACATCTCCCCACATCTCACCGGCTCTTCATGATGACGAGCGGGTCTCTCCCCACATCTCCCCACATCTCCCCACATCTCCCCACATCTCACCGGCTCTTCATGATGACGAGCGGGTCTCTCCCCACATCTCCCCACATCTCCCCACATCTCACCGGCTCTTCATGATGACGAGCGGGTCTCTCCCCACATCTCCCCACATCTCCCCACATCTCACCGGCTCTTCATGATGACGAGCGGGTCTCTCCCCACATCTCCTCACATCTCCCCACATCTCCCCACATCTCACCGGCTCTTCATGATGACGAGCGGGTCTCTCCCCACATCTCCCCACATCTCCCCACATCTCCCCACATCTCACCGGCTCTTCATGATGACGAGCGGGTCTCTCCCCACATCTCCCCACATCTCCCCACATCTCCCCACATCTCACCGGCTCTTCATGATGACGAGCGGGTCTCGCACAAACAAGTGCGCGACGTGGCGCGCCAAGTCCTCGTCCACGCCGCCCTCAAGCAGCCTCTCGAGGGAGGGGCCGTCCACGGGCGCGTCGAGGTCGTTGTACCGCTTCATGCAGCCTAAGGGAAGGGAAGGGAAGGGACACCTCTCCACACACACGAGGTGGTGGGGCAAGGGCAAGGGCCAGGCAACCCTCGCGTCTCCACGTCTGACGACAGGAGGGTGTGTGTGTGTGTGTGTGTGTGTGTGTGTGCGTGCGCGGCGCGCGCGCGCGCGTGCGTGTGTGGTGTGTGGTGTGTGTGGTGTGTGTGTGTGTGTGTGTGTGTGTGTGTGTGTGTGTGTGTGTGTGTGTGTGTGTGTGTGTGTGTGTGTGTGTGTGTGTGTGTGTGTGTGTGTGTGTGTGTGTGTGTGTGTGTGTCCCTCCACGGTTGGCGAGATACACCGAGATCGACTCGTAGCGTGACTTTGGGAGCGGCGCCACTCCGCCGCCCGCAAGCGGCGCGAGCTCCTACTCAGGACAGCAACTCGTCCATCTCCCCGCATCTCCCCGCATCCTCCCCGCATCCTCCCCGCATCTCCCCATATCTCCCCATATCTCCCCGCATCTCCCCGCATCTCCCCATATCTCCCCATATCTCCCCGCATCTCCCCACACCTCCCCGCATCTCCCCGTATCTCCCCACCCCTCCTACTCAGGCAGCGGCTCGTCCTCATACGCGCTGTCCACTCCGCCGCCCGCCGGCGCCGCGAGCTCCTCCGCGCTACGACGCGGCGCAGACTCGTCGGGCGGCACGCCGCGCTCGAACGGCGTGCGGTCGTCGACCTAATGGGCCAAGCAAGACCTAGTCTCTCCCCAATGAGCAAAGGGAGGACTGGACGGCGGGCGGTCGTCTACCGACGCAGCGACGGTCGCCCACCGCACGTCCGTGGGGGAGATATGGGGAGATATGGGGAGATATGGGGAGATATGGGGAGATATGGGGAGATACCGACGCAGCGACGGTCGCCCACCTCACGTCCGTGGGGGAGGTATGGGGAGATATGGGGAGATATGGGGAGATATGGGGAGATATGGGGAGATATGGGGAGATACCGACGCAGCGACGGTCGCCCACCGAACGTCCGTGTCGGCGAGGCGGCCTGAAACAGCAAACGCGGCCTTTCGACCCCCGCGCTCTGGCGTTCGGCGTCCGTGCCGGGGCGAGGCGGCCTAGAAGCGAGCGCCCCCTGTCCGTCCCTTTCTTTTTCTGCGCCCCTGGCGGTGTCGACGTCGGAGCCGCGGCGCCTACGCGACGCGCGCAGCAGCTGTCCACTGTCTGGCGGGGGAGCTGTCCATCAGAGAGCTGTCCATCAGAGAGCTGTCCATCAGAGAGCTGTCCATCAGAGAGCTGTCCATCAGAGAGCTGTCCATCAGAGAGCTGTCCATCAGAGAGCTGTCCATCACGGTCTATGTCGGGCGAGGCGGGGCCACGAAGGACGGGCGGGGGAGATATGGGGAGATGTGGGGAGATGTGGGGAGATAGGGGGAGATATGGAGATATGGGGAGATATGGGGAGATAGGGGGAGATAGGGGGAGAGCTGGGGAGAGATGGCGGGACCATGAAGGACGGGCGTGGCGGCGGTCAGCGCGAGCATCACCGGCGCGAGGACCTGTTCACAGCTGAAGGTGTGAAGAGACGCCGTTCACAGCCAGCGCGAGCATCACCGGCGCGAGGACCTGTTCACAGCTGAAGGTGTGAAGAGACGCCGTTCACAGCCAGCGCGAGCATCACCGGCGCGAGGACGGCGAGGTGGTCGTAGAGATGACGCGACTCGTCGATGTCCCGCGCCTGGAAGGCTCAGAGAAGGGTCCGGGAAGGGTCGGGGAAGGGTCGGGGAAGGGTCCGGGAAGGGTCCGAGAAAGGTCCGGGAAGGGTCCGAGAAAGGTCCGGGAAGGGTCCGGGAAGGGCCCGAGAAAGGTCCGGGAAGGGCCCGGCGAGTCAATGTCGCGCCTGGAAGGTGACCTGGAGGCAGCAGCAGCCCAGTGAGATATGGGGAGGTATGGGGAGGTATGGGGAGGTATGGGGAGATAGACCTGGAGGCAGCAGCAGCCCATCCCGTACGCCATCGCGTCCATCTCGATGCCTGCCCGACACGGAAGGATGGGTTTGGGTACTGTGGAGGTAGGGGATGGGTTTGGGTACTGTGGAGGTAGGGGATGGGTTTGGGTACTGTGGAGGTAGGGGATGGGTTTGGGTGCTGTGGAGGTAGGGGATGGGTTCGGGTACTGTGGAGGTAGGG